TTTAAATATTTGATTATTGTCAATGTAGCATTATGTCCTCTGGTTGGATGAAGCTAAATAGCTAACTAATTTTTCAGGGTATACTAGCCTATAATCTACTTTACAGTCAACTGAAATATACATATTTAAGAAGGTAACTTTGAACAAGATTGCATCATCATGTTTTAAAAATTGTGAACAAATAAACTAGTTTTATACGAATCTTAAAAATTCGCAAAAGAAAACCTAATGGTGGAGCCAATTTTCTTTAAGTAATTTTGTGGCGCGATGGTAAACCTAAGAAATTCATCAATTTCAATGAAAGAACCTCTACTCCAGATAAAAAAATCCGTTTTTCTTGGATGGTGACTTAAAGAAAGCACACCTATCCAGGATACAATTGCAGTACTTAGTCTTATAGGAAATAAACCTAGGCATTAAAATAGCAAGGATTATTATATGCTCGGCTACCTCAATATACTCTACCAATTCGCACACAGGTATGCTAACAGCCACCTTAAGCACAGTAAAAAATGGATTGTCGCGAATTGAAGAAAATATTTAGAAAATAATGCTTTACGCAGATAAAAAGCTAGATGTTCAACTAACAGGCAGATTAAGGAGAGTTATCGGAAGAGCTTAAGAAAAATGAAAATTTCGGAATATTTGGCAAGCCCAGAAATCTTTTAATATATCGCATAATAAATCTTGTAAGCGTCAAATATACCAAGCTGAAGTTATATGTCCAAACAATGCAGATACTCGACATTATTATGCTATTGTTAAGAAAAAAGGCTTGTGTTTCTATATTCCGTTTCACAGGCATTAAAGTATCTTGATTGTGTTTTAAATTTTGGAAATAATAATAAACTTTTATACGTAAAAAGCCCAAAAATTGCATAAATACAAGCTCAGTTTAGAAGCATTCCTTACGAAATTGATAAATAAAGTAAAAGAAATTATTAAATTGGCCTCGCGGTAATTTGAAGGAACATTGTCCTGGAGCTGTAACGGTGGCTTTTTTTGAATAAGCCATCAGCTCACCGTCCAAGTACACCAATACATCTGTTTAGATCTGTTTTCATTCATGTGTAGGATATCGTCAGAGCAATAAATCATACTAAAAAAGGAAGCTTACCAGATGCAATAATAGTTACTGGTTAGTCTGCTTTTGTTTATCTAATGAGATATAGCATTAATTAGTTGGCTATTCTATATGTTCTCTATATTCTTTCAGAACATGTTATTGGCTATGGAGAATAAATGAAATCGATGCATTAATTACTGAACGGCTGCTTCTTCAACTTAACTTGTACTTCTTAACCTGCAATTTTAGCGCTTATTGAATGTGTATCTTGTACTTAATTCAAGAAGCACACTTAGTATCTTAATTATTAGCTAGGTATCTTGATAACTATCTTTTCTGTAAGCTCATATTTATGACTACTTTGTCGATCGACATTGAGGCATTAAGAACCTAGACATTTTCCTTACGTTTATGAATAGTATAAATTCGAAAACCAAATACAACCTGGAATTATAAAAAGATATTAGTTTGCATATTCTGGATGTTCCAATTATTAAACAGTGAACCAAATTTGGTAATGATTTGTAGCATAAACCCACCAATGCGGGTTTCTACTTGATTTGTTTTCAAATCATGTTTATGAGGTTATACTAGGGATAGTTAACTCTATACTAATACAGAAAACGAGTCTCGCAAATTTTGCCGATTGGAACCAGGATATGAGGCCATTAAGAAGGATGTTATTTAAAAACAATTTTTGAAAAAGGATTAATTGCTTATTATTTGAAGGTATTAGCAAATTGGAGGAAGAGATACATTCTTTTGGAGCGAGACATACGACTGAACCAAGTAGTAGGATTCTAATGTAATCATCCTATTAGCCCTAGAAAAAGTCGAATTACTAAGGAAGTAGGATAGCAGAACAATGTATGGGAAGAAATATATATTTTTCAGCATTTTATGACCCTTTATACAGACTGTTAAGGGGGTTTGGATTATGTGGGGGTTTTTACGTGGAAGAGATGTGCCGACCCATACATACAGGGTAAATTAAATTTAAAATTGCCTGTACTGTTGTGCTGGTCCAGCACTCAAAACTTCTCACTTCTTTTATATTTATATTTACAAATTTAGTAAGACAAATAACTTATTATATTTATTTTTACATGTGCTATTTATGTACTTTAATTGCCACATAAATAAAGTGAAGATAAATAAAAAGGAATAGTATATATAGATTAATAAACTCCCACTAACTATGATTTAATGCAGTAAACAAAAACTACAATGTAGCGACTGTAGGATCAAATCAAGTATATATTCTCTCAGTAAAAATTGTCTTTGTGGAAGTTCAGCTCTTATCGGTAAGAATTACATGCCAAATTATTGAGGAGATTAAGTAAGAGCTATGAGCTACAATGACCATGTTGTAAATTGAAGCAAAAAATATAAGGAAGAGAAGTTATTCAATAAAACATTTTGGATTCACTGAGGAAGCTACTGAAAACCAACAAAAATACCATAGGTATTTGCATCTTATGAATTGTGTCAGCCACTGATAGCAATCAATTTCGGCAATAAATCTTATTTGGTGGCCTAAAATAACAAATATGAGATAATGAGTCTTATTTCGTAACTCTTACCCAATAGTATAAGGACCGATATTGTTGTACCTTACTATTCTGGAATACGTAAAGAACGTCCCGTATATTTATTCTACTTTTACTATTAATTAAACATTGATCACAAGATTTTTTGTAGAAAAGAAAGAAAGACCTTATCATTCAAATTTGTAAGAAATTTTACAAATTCAGAAATTATGTTTTCTCGATTAGGCATAGGATTTCCGTCAAGATACGAGCTAAATAATAGAGGCAATAAGAAAAAGCTATTAGGTTTAATATACTATACATTTTGATTATTAAATATGAAAGCCCGCATAAAAAATAGGACTTAACATCTTATAAGTTATCTTAAAAATGAGGGGTCTAGAAGTGAAACTATTTAAAGCCTTTTTTGTTCTTACGTAGAATGTAGTTGCCTGAAGATGAAGAAGTAAAGACATGGCCGTTGACGGACTTTGCTTTGAGCTTAAAGATAAGTGGGTGTTGTCCTTCTGTACGCTAAGGTCTAATTGACTTTTCCATGGTGCAACTAGGAGTTATGAAGAATTTTGCGTACCAAGATGTGATATATACAGCGGTTGGATATGATGAAGAAGCATACTTCGAAGCGATTCGTGGGGAGGACATGCGATTTCTGTCACCCCAAGAAATAGTTGGTCAGCCAAGTTGGATCGGTAGGAATTGAAAGGCTTTAAGGACGGGCCTCCTGGTACAGGAGGATCGAGCGTCCAGAATTTCCATGGGTGGTCCTTTGAGATAGAAAGCTCTTGGAAAAGGAAAGAGATTTATTGCGAGAGAGCCTTTCAATCCCGTAAGACTTATCGGCCTAAGGGTTTTGATCCCGTAGAAAACTTGTTCAACGTTTATAAGAGATGTATTTTCTAGTTTAGTTAAAGGGGATAAAAGACCGTTAATTGAATTTTCAGACAATAACATAAGTAGGTCTCGTGGTTCAATTGATCTTCACATAGCCTTGCTTATCAAGGTATTTTCATTCAAGTTGTCAAAAGTGAAATTGGCTGACAATCGGAGTATCTTAATCATGAAGAAGAAGATTAATGAGTGATCTGCGTGAAAAACGAGGAATTAAAGAATATTAGATGCGGAATTGCTTAGCTAAAGAGTGCAATAAAGCATAGTCAGGATATGTCGCAAAAAGAGAAACCAATAAGACTAACCAAATAAAATTATATAAGATGCATTCATCCTATTTCGTTTAAGTTGATGAAGGACTGGTAGTAGAATTTTCCCACTATGATATGAGTAGAGATGACGTTCCTATTGAATTTCACATAATCTTGCTTTCCCAAAAGTTGTTATAATCTAGGGTGGACTGCAGTTTCGACCTCGCATAGGTCTTATCAACACTCCCAGCGGAAGTCGAGCCGTGACAGTTCAGCATCTGAGCTTGACACCTTAACTACTCGGCCATATATTTTCATTAGTGTCTTTGGGTCACAGGGCAGATGTGAATTTCAAGGAAGGCCAGGCCCTTTCCCATATTACATTCTTTGGTTTGGCTTGTCATGAAGCAGATGTATTTTTGCTATAACAATCGATAACATTACTTACTCTTTGTATAGGAGTAGAGTTTCGAGACTAGTCTGGATAAGAACAACTCTTGGGAATGCAAGTCTATGTGAACGCCAAAGAATGTCATAGGGGAAAGGGCCTGGCTTTCCTTGAAATTCATATCTGCCCTGTGACCCAAGGGCACTCTTTGCAATGTGACCGAGTGGTTAAAGTGTCAAACTAACATACTGAAAAATAAGTGAAAATTTTTGTATAAAAACTTTTTTGAATTACATGCCTTTATATTAGGTCCTATTTGGATATCGAATATTCATGCTCACAAATCAAAACGACAGGGAGGTATCTATCTTTGGAATATAGTAAGCCTAGATTTTAATCATGGTATGCGGATTAAAGAACATTCATAAATAATTGACTTTGTTTAACAGATGTGATAAAAGGATTCACTTGTAGAAGACCATGTGTATATTTTTTTATAATTATATTTCAGAATTATGTGATAGGTTACGGCCTTATTTTTTCGTCTCAGCAAAATGAAGTATAGAGCCTTGGCAGTTACAAAATAATCTAATGTTTTCTGTTTAAAGTTTTTGTGATAGAATCATAACACCTGACAATAATAATAAGTAACAAATGGATATTACATTAGCCACACTACAACAAATATCCTTCAACTTAATAAGAAAACTTTTTGAAAAGATAAAATTATATTCGAATTTATATAGATTTTGTTTGCAGGTGTCATTCGCATATGAGAAATTACTTGTGCCTATTTGGCCCTTACCGCGCCCGCCTTACTCTAATTTTCGACATGCGCTGACTACTTTTCTCCCCAATCCTGTCGACATGTATCTGTACAATCTATCCCTTCAAAGGGCCTCAGGTGTTACCCATGCAGTTCATGGTAATTTCTCTGGAACGAAACAGCAAGAAATAGCTGTTGCCAAGGGTCAGATTATTGAACTACTTAAGCCTGATCCTAACTCTGGCAAAATCTACACTCTTCTAACTACCGAAGTATTTGGAGTCGTACGTTGTATTATGCCTTTTAGACTAACCGGTGGTAACAAAGGCAAGCTGATTTTGTTTAACTTTTTTAGATTACTTAATCATCGGGTCTGATTCTGGGCGCATCGTTGTGCTTGAATATTTGCCGACTAAAAATGTCTTCGAAAGGGTCCAGCAAGAAACTTTTGGAAAAAGCGGTTGTCGCAGAATTGTTCCAGGGCAGTACTTAGCAATTGACCCCAAAGGGCGCGCAGTCATGATAGGTGCGGTTGAAAAGCAGAAGTTGGTTTATATATTCAATAGAGATGCCCAGGCTCGTCTGACTATCTCCTCTCCGTTGGAAGCTCACAAGTCAAATACTCTTGTTTACCATATGATAGGAGTAGATGTTGGTTTTGACAACCCCACTTTTGCCTGTATTGAAATGGATTATGAAGAAGCTGATCAAGACTCAACTGGAGAAGCGGCAAGAAATGCTCACCAACTTCTTACATACTACGAGCTAGACTTGGGCCTCAATCATGTCGTTCGTAAGTACTCTGAACCACTTGAAGAGCATGCAAATTTCCTGATAACTGTGCCTGGCGGAAATGAGGGCCCTTCGGGAATCCTTATTTGTTCCGAAAATTATATAACCTACAAAAACTTTGGGGATCAGCCAGATATTCGTTGTCCTATCCCTCAGAGACGTAATGACCTTGATGATCCGGATAGAGGGATTCTTTTTGTCTGTAGCGCGTCACACAAAACTAAGGTATTTGTTTACCTGATTAATCTGTAGAATTTGTTCTTCTTTTTGGTACAAACAGAACAAGGTGATATTTTCAAGATAAATTTGGAAACTGATGAAGATATGGTAACGGAAATAAAGCTTAAATATTTCGATACAGTCCCTGTGGCTTCTGCCATGTGTGTCCTGAAAACAGGATTTCTCTTCGTTGCTTCTGAGTTTGGAAATCAGTAACTTATAAATAATTGACAGTTTAGCTTTCTATATCAGATAGCCCATCTAGGGGATGATGACGATGAGCCTGAGTTTTCCTCTGCAATGCCTCTGGACGAAGGCGATACATTTTATTTTGCTCCCAGAGGCCTCAAAAATCTTGTCGAAGTCGATTCCTTGGATAATTTGTCTCCAATAATGAATCTTCACGTAATTTATTCATTTAAGCTGTATTCTATAATAGATTGCTGATTTGGCTAATGAGGATACACCACAACTTGCAGTTTTGTGTGGCAGGGGTCCGAGATCAACTTTTAGATTACTACGCCATGGTTTGGAGGTTTCGGAAATGGCTAAATCAGATCTTCCTGGCAGTCCTAATGCCGTATGGACCGTCAAGCGGTCCTCAGAAGGTAGTAATTACTTATTATATAAACCAACTGCTCTATATTGTATTAAAATATGACTAAATTACATTTTAGAGGAATTTGATTCCTATATAATAGTCTCGTTTGTCAATGCAACTTTGGTTCTTTCGATTGGAGAGACTGTTGAGGAAGTTACTGATTCTGGATTTCTCGGTACAACGCCTACTCTTACCTGCTCACAATTGGGCGAAGATGCGTTGGTTCAGGTTTATCCTGATGGAATCAGGCATATCCGAGCAGATAAAAGGGTCAATGTATGGCGAACGCCAGGGAAAAAGACTATCGTTAAATGTGCGGTCAACCGACGACAAGTGGTTATTTCTTTAACTGGGGGCGAACTTGTCTACTTTGAAATGGATGCAACTGGGCAGCTTAATGAATACACCGAGCGTAAGGAAATGCCAGCTGATGTTATCTGTATGGCGCTTGGGCGGATTCCTGCTAATGAGCAGCGATCAAGGTTTTTGGCCGTTGGTCTTGCTGATAATACCGTTAGAATACTTTCTCTGGATCCGTCTGTAAGTAATACGAATGCGGCTATTCTATTTTTCCCTCCACATAATTCTTATTTTCTTTTTCAAGGATTGTATGTCTCCCCTCACAATGCAAGGACTTCCCACTATGGCGGAATCTCTATGTATAGCCGAAATGGGCATCGGTGAATTGGCTTCTACATCTGGGGGGGCAACTGATGGTGACGAAGAAGATTCAGATATCAAACATTCAGGGATTATATATCTTAATATTGGTCTTAGCAATGGCGTGCTTTTGCGAGTTATTTTGGATCCAGTCACTGGTGAACTTTCCGATACTCGAACTCGTTATCTTGGAACGCGTCCTGTCAAGCTCTTTCGTATTACTATGCAGGGTGGAGAAGCCGTGTTGGCCGTATCAAGCCGATCATGGCTTAGTTATGCGTATCAAAACAGATTTCATCTTATACCCCTTTCTTATGAGGCTCTTGAATACGCATCTGGCTTTTCTTCTGAGCAATGCCCCGAAGGGATCGTCGCAATATGCGAAAATTCACTTCGCATCCTTGCTCTCGAAAAATTGGGCGCCGTTTTCAACCAAACAAGTCATCCATTGAGCTATACCCCGAGACGGTTTTCGTTTCATCCAGAGTCTAACATGGCATTTATAATTGAAACTGATCACAACACATTCACCGCGGAAGTAAAAGCCGAAAGAAAGCGGCAAATGGGCATGGTTAGTTCATATTATTTATTGGTCTTGGTGTTCTCCTCTAGTTTAGTTAGACGCTTTAAGAAAAAGTATCTATGATCTAATCTGAATTCGAATATGTTCATTAGGGCACCTTAAATTAATTCACTGCCTTGATTACTCTTCCATCTTTTATGTTGCATTTCTTCATCCCTCCCATTGATGGTCGTGATCCATTTTGTAAATGCTAGAAAATGTTAGAGTCTGCAGAGAGCCTTGAAACGGAGGAGCAGCGGGAATTGGTTCGACAATCTGCTCGTACCTTTCTCTCTGACGCGAATGATTTGCCTGAAGCTATATTTGGAGAACCAAAGGCTGGCCCTGGAATGTGGGCCAGTTTACTTCGAGTTCTGCATCCACTTACGGGGGGAAGCTTTCAGATCGTTCGTTTTCAGCAGAACGAAGCTGCACATGCACTTACTTTAGCTAAGTTCAACAATAGGTGAGAATTTTGGCCATATTTTTGTTTTACTATTCAAAAATGTTTTTTTGTCTACCTTGATAGTTCTTGATTCTGTATGTTTGCGCTATCTGGCTACAACAACGTTCTTAAAGTTCCTTGTCTCTTAATTGTCATTACTTTTCATTGTAACTGAGACCAGGGCTCATACTCAATGTTCTCTTAGGAAAAAATCTTCCGCTAACCTTAATACCAAATCATCAATAGTTTTTAAGCGCTAACTTACGTCTTTGCATGCATCCACACATGAATTCATATTTATATGAAAAGAACTATCTTTAGGGCGTTATTATGTTTAAGTTTTTTTAAGAATACGTTCCGGCCCCGATGTCTCCCA